CCAGCCAAAAGGGAAAAGGACCCCAGCAAGCCTTGTTAGCTACAGACAGCGCTGTAAAGCTGAACAGCAAAGGACCTTGGGGGCATTATTCTGGAATTAAAAAGGTGTCATCTCCATGGACAACAGCATTATTGTTCCTAATGTGAATGAGAGTGAGGAAAAGGAATAAATAAGCTTGTGATGGTAAAGCACAGAAATCCTTACACATTGTGTCCTCCAACTAGAACAGGGTTTGGTTTGTCCTGAAGGGAGATCTCAGTGAATCCTGTAAAAGTGATAATTGCATTCCTGTGTTCAACAGCACAGTTTTCTCTAAGTGTCCCTGCACCGGCTCCGTTACGAGTCAGAGCCCATTGACAGAGTTCTGGCCACCCCACAGGGTGGGCCCTCCAAGGGAACCCCATTCCTCCCAACATTGGTTGAGCACATACCCAGCAATTAGTTACATTGAGTAGTTTGGCTACTTGGATCTTTAAATTTTCAAAATAGTTTTGATGACTAATGCCTTGATAAAACTCCAGAGGTGTTTCTGGCAAACAAAGATTCTGGCTGACTCTCAAGATACAACTTACAGACATCAGTAGTGCTTTAGTGACAAGGTTACTCATTCTTTTTCCTCACTCTAATTCACATTAGGAACAATAATTCTGTTGTCCATGGAGATGACAACTTTTTAATTCCAGAATAATGCCCCCAAGGTCCTTTGCTGTTCAGCTTTACAGCGCTGTCTGTGGCTAACAAGGCTTGCAAATGGTGTTGTCTTTGCCCAGAGCTGTTCCTTCAGCTGGCTCAGAAGGGCCATTTGGCCTCTGCACTCACACTCTGGGTCCTTTATTAGGACTGGTGCATCCAAACCTTTTATCTCCACTAACACTGCTGATTGGAGGTGGATGTCCATTTTTTACAGTTGATTTTAAAACTGCAATACCAGTATTTGTGCTACCCTGTCATGGGGTTGAATAATCCAATCTTGTTCATTATTTTTACAGAATTATTTTAATTTCTCCTTGATAATCTGCATCAATTCCTCCTCCCATGGCATGAACAATTTGCAAGGCTCCAGTGAGCAGTTACCAAACCAAAGTGTCCAGGAGGAATGTGAATTCCTGTTTCAGTATTGTTAACTCTCATTTACTTCTGATTTCTCCTAATGAATTCCAGTGCATGAAGGTCCAGCCCTGCAGCCTCTGGGGTGGCCCTGGCAGGGGCCATCACAGCCAGAAAAATTTCCCAGGCAGTCCAAGTCTCACTATCCATGGCTGTGTTTGCAAATTGGGTGCAGCCATGCACACCCAGGGGTTTCCATTTCCCAGTGGGCCCATTGTTAAGGGCATGGAGCACATCTGGGAGATGGGTTCTCCACCAGGACAAGTTCCTATCTCTCCTCATTTTATCGACTGCTCTTTTCACAGCCTCTTCAGCCATTGAACCAATCCTGCAGCTCGTGGATAGTGTGGTACATGAAAAATGCAGCAGTCTTAATCACTGTGTTTTTCACAGGAACAGACAAAGCATTCCACATCACAGCATCGGCAACCCCTATAAAAGTTTGGTTGTTGCTGTGAGTGCCAGCAGAAGCCGTGGCTGGAGCAGCAGGTGCTGACAGTGGCCCAAGGCCTGGGGCTGGAGGGGTCCCTGGGCTGGGGCTGGGAGGGAGCTGCCCCTTGTTCTCCCTCTGCCTCACACAGAGCTGGGCCGGGCACAAGTGGGGCAGCAGAGCCAACAGGGAGCCTGCGAGTCTCTTCCAGCCGTGCCTGCTCAGAGTTTGGCCTTGGAGCTTCAGGTGGACAAAGGCAGCTGCTCTGGCCCCTCTGCGTGTGCCCGTGTTCAGCACTGCTGCTCCATCAGTCTGTGCCCAGCAACGGGGAAAAGCCTCTGCCCTGCAGGGCGGGGAGCTGCCGGGCTCTACCTGAGCAGCTCAGCCAGCAGGAAGGGAGCTGCTCCACACAGGAACCAGGAGCAAAGGACATGCCTTTTTTACAGCATGTTTTCTGCTTTAAGGGGAGAAAAGAGAAAATAGAAAAAAAAAAACTGCTGTAAAATGTGAAAGATAAAAACAGAACCTAAGTGTGCAGTGAAAAATCTTCAATAACTTTGAATTAAGTGGTAATTGGTTTTTGAAACATAGGACTCAGTTATTTACTTTGTACATGTGCTGATGGTATGATGCAGCTTACTGGCCTCAGTAACCTTTTTTAAAAAGATTTTGGGGTTTGATTCCATTATTGTTATTTTAAATTGTGGTGAAATTGGTGTGAAGCGAGAAGAAATTGCTTTGCACCCTGCCAGCTCCAAGCAGCACTGGGAATCTAAACTCTGTCAAACCCCAAATCCTTTAGAAGATGCCCTTCCTTCTCACCCTGTGAATGAGCTGCACATTCCCTTTCAAACATTCAGGGCTTTCTTAAAGATGCAAAGTCCCACTTACAGCTTTTGGCTCTGGCTTGGAAGTGCAGAAGGGCAATTCTTCTTCATCCATCAGCTCCAGACTGCACCGCCTCAGGATCACAGCAGTGGCACTTCTAGAGGAGGAAGAAAGTGCAATTGCACAATTCCAGCCAAAAAGAAAGGAAGAGTGCGACATAGAAAACATCCTGTGCAGATCCAGGCATTCAGCTGGGACTGTGGAGAAACTGGGCTCTTGCCAATTGAATGCGTGTCCCTAACTGCAATCGCTTGGCCTGCAGGAGAGTCTCACTCACCTGTAAAAGCAGAAAGCTCAGGCGGTGTGCTGGGAACGGGCTCGTCTGGTGGAAAGCTGTCAGAGCAATGGGAGGGCAGAGCAAGCCCAGCCATGCTTGGGGCTGAGCCCAGCAGAGCCCTGGCAGAGCCCAGAGCAGCCTCAGAATCCGCAGAGCCCGGCTGCAAAGAGAGAAACCAGAAACCGCCCGTCAGCTCAAGGCTCCTGTCCCCTTGTCCCAGCCACCCACGGTGCCCAGGCCATGCTGGCCGTGCTCAGCGCTGAGCCCAAAGCTGCCCATCACTGCTGCCTTTGGGAGCAGAGCAGGAGGGCAGGACATGTGCCCAGCCTGCAGCCAGCCACGGCAGATCCAGCCCCTCAGCAGCTGCCCAGAGACAAAAAGCAGACTGGCAGCCGACTGAAGAACTGGTTGCATCCACCCCAGCCAAGGGGTGAATCTTTGGTGCCGGCCAGGCTGTGCCATGCCCAGATCTGGGAGCATCCCCCCGGCTGTGGACTCACCTGCAAATTGGGTGTGGAGTGTGTCTTTGAAAAAGGTGCCAGAATCAAAGTTGATCATCTTCAGCTGGCCACGTGGATGAAGACATTGTCACGCTTGAGGTTGCCCTTGGTGTCTCCCACAGCAGCCCCACCTGGTACAGCTTCTCCAGGGGCTCCTTCTCCTTCCCTAGGGGCCAGACCAGTGCTCTGCCCAGGGCCCCAGCCATCAGTGAAGCAGACAAGCAAAACCAGGGGGGATGATGGCCACCAGTGCTTGCCACACCAGGTCGCCAGCTCAGCTCCAGCCCAAGAGCTGTGTATTCCCTTCTGATGACCCCTGCTGAGAGCTACAGGCAGAACAAAAACAGTCTGCTTTGCTTTACCACTGATTGCCAAGAGATGGGTGGAGTTGTTACCTGCCAGGCCCCTGGATCCAACTGTGCATGTGGATCTCTCCCATCTTCTAGGGCAAATGAACACCCTGAATCCAAGGGTCTTGGAAGAGATCTTCTAAGGATGGCCTGTCCAAGGGTTGCATGGACAAACATCTCTTAATTACATCTTGGCACTCTGAAGAGAGAAACCAGGAATCACCAGTCACTTGGAAAAGTTGACCCCTGTTCCTGTGCCCAGGCCATGCTGGGTGTGCCCAGAGCTGGGCCTAAATTTCCCCATGGATTCCCTGTTTGCAGGAGAGCAGGACATGTGTCATCTCCTCAGCAGTTGCCAGAGCAGGATGCTCATGACCCCACTGCTGTCTCCCAACCCTGGTGTTCCCTCCATGCCCAGAGATGAGGATCCACCTTGGGAGAGCCGTCGTGGGAAGAAGATCCGCCCCCAGATGATCTGCTGGCCCTTCCTGAACAGGTGCTTCCCTATGACCAGCTGGTACAGCAGGAGGCCCCCGGGGACCAGTTTGTTGCTGCCTGGCCGTGGTAACGTCGCTGGTAGAACCACTCTGGTGGGCTGTAGGACAGGGTTCCTGTGGAACACAGACAGAGCTCATCAGGGGGATGCTGCTGCTCCCAGAGCCTGGCCCCAGTATCCCTGGGCATGTGGGGGCTGCCCCAGAGGCACACGGGGTGACCTGCTGCCCTCTCGCCAGCACCTGGGACTTGTGTACAAACTCGGCCTTGCAAATGAAGTCAGTGCTGCTGGAAGAGAGCAGCAGAAGCACTGGGGAGGCCCAACCATGACCCACAAAAGGAAAATCCACCCAGTGGTAGAGAAAACCCACTCTCCTCCCTGCCTGCATGGCCTCCAAAAAACTGTTAATAAGCCAAGGCAAATGTGGGGAGCAGAGGAGTTCGAGCCCTTCCTCGCTGGCACACCAAACAGGGTCAGACACTCCCATCTCTGCTATCCCCATGAGGGATTTTGTCAGGCTGGCTGCCCCAGCCCCAGCCCAGGGCATAGTGGGTGCTGAAGGCTGTCAGCAGGGCTGGGAGCTGGCCCCCCTCACATCCCTACCCAAATCAACTTGGCTCAAACATTAATCCCATCGCAGCAGCAACAGGGGAAAGCCCTGGTCCCACACCCACACTGGGCCAAGGAGCCCAGGAGCATCCCCTGCAAGAGCTCACCTGCAAATCGGGTGTAGGCTGTGTCCTGGAGGAAGGTGCCACAGCCAAAGTCAATGAGTTTCAACTGCCCTGTGGCGAGGTCCAGCAGGATGTTTTCAGGCTTGAAATCCCTGTACAGGACCCCGCAGCTGGTGCAGTGCCGCACGGCCTCCAGCACCTGGCAGAACAGCCCCCGCTCCTCCTCCTCCGGCAGGAACCTCCGCTCTGCCAGCAAATGCGAGAGGTCCTGGCACTGCTGCGGACGCTCCAGCACCAAC